CTGCATCAGTTTGCCATTCTAAAAATAACCATTACGATGCATTGCAATGTTTAAAAAACTCTACGGTAGTACCACTTGGCAAGAGGGGTGTTAAGTTTAAGGGAACTGTATAATGTATTTGCTTACGAATAATTGAATTAGAAAATGTTATTCATAAAACTTCACACATAATTACTTTATATATACAATTTGAATTAATTTAAAAAAAATTACAATACAGAAACAAATACAACTGATGTGGCACCTCTATTTAAATTTACTTATGAGCGAATTGCGTAGTGGTGGGGAAATTTTGACGTCATCACGATGAAGTAGTAGTTTTGTTACACTTCGGGCGATAGTGATTACGATTACAAATTATATGAAACAGTTACAACCCCCCTCCCCCATGGACCCCTCTGTAAAAAAATATTGTCATAATACCATTGCTACTTATTTAAATCTATTTCTGAAATATATATTTGTGTAATATACATGTATGTTTAGAACAGTCATCTAAAAACTGACGCTATGTTCACTCTGAGTTGGTTATCTCCCCCCCCCCCACACACACACCTCACCACCACAATTGTGTAGGGCGACATTAATGTCACACCTAGGTATACACCGGGTTCGATAATTGACCTAAAGTGAACGGACAGTGGTGAATGAAGTTGAACCCACCCCACCCCAACCCACCCCGAACTGGTCTGTTAAGTACATGTAGAAAAACGGGTAATGATGTACCAAAATACCATGCCGCCAGAAAATTAGCTTTTTAAACGTAAAACTCAGTGAATATTGTTTTTGCAATTACCAGTAAAAAGTTGTGTGATCAATACAGTGATCTAACCCATACCTATCACTATGTTAGAAAATGATCTTTAAAGAACACAAAGAAGCAGTAGTTAATCAAATACATGATCTGAACTAAAAGACCGATATTTAGTTAAACGTAGGATGTTATTCCGAATGTTTTTCTATTATATCGAAAATCGTGGTTTTATACCAACTCTGATTTTAAAAACTTTCATTATGCTGTAATACTTTAGCATTTATGATGACGATATATTAAATTCTGATTATAGACAAAAACATTTTGTAAACACGAATAATGTTATACAATTTCATTATAATCTAAAGTAATTATTTATTTGTTTTGACATTTCTAATTAAATGTGTAGATATATACATATTTATATTAAGAGAGTTATTATTTCCCCTATTTCACTTGTCTTAAATAATTTCCCAGGAATTATTATGTAAGGAATTTTTTTTACAAGAATTATAAAACAGATTGTGTTACGTTCATTGTTTTTGGTTGTAGTGTGTGTATATATATATATATTTTTTTTGTTTAGATTGATACAATTTTTGTTTTGTCGGCCTACATTGTGTGTTTTATCTTATTTCTTCAGAGTGCTACTTTCAATTTAAATTACATCATAGCGAAGTAATGACATACAGATAGTAATTATATATATATATATATATATATATATATATATATATATATATATATATATATATATATATATATATATATAATACACGTATATAGAACGTGTTAAAAATTTGGCGCCTTTTTTGCTCTTTTCGCTCCCCCTACAACGAAAACCTGGATACGCCTCTGGGTTTCATATACGCCTTCACTGAATCCTTCTTAATAGTTTTAATTTATCGTCTACATTGACGAAATCCGATCGTGAATCATATTTGTGTGTGGGTGGGATAGAACCCAGGTAAGAACCACTGCTCTAAGCTCTTTTGATTTTCTTAGTTTTTTCGTTTCGGTTTCCTAAGGTGCATAGGCTTCAACTCGCTTGATTTTTGTGCCAATGCGAACAATAAATGTTTCTGATAAGTTGCTCTAGTATGTCACTTGTATGTACCATTTCTAACAAACTTATAATTGACTTTGTACCATATCACAACAGAGATCGTTCAAAAAATAGAAAA